CCCTCCATCAACGAAAGGCAGAAGAAAGTCTGGTTACTCTTTGCTGGGGATCACAAGGATTGGACTGTTGATGATTGGGCTGAGGTTCTCTTCAGTGATGAATCCAGTTTTCAGTTGATGCCCACTCCAGCCAACTTACTGGTTAGGATGAAGCCTGGAAAGAGCCTACAAACCAGACGGTCTTGCCCCTACAGTAAAACATGGGGGTGGATCAGTGACCATCTGGGGTAGTTTCAGTATGGGTGGAACAGGGCAAAGGCAATTGTGTGAAGGGCGAATGAACCAGGTCATGTACAGGTCTACTCTTGAAAACAGTCTTCTTCCATCAGCTGGAAAACTCTTTTCTGCCTCGAATGACAGGATTTTCTAACAACACAGTGCCCCTTGTCACACGGCAAGGTCAGTTAAAGCCTGGATGGAGAACCAGAACACTGGAACCATGCCTTGGCCTGCTCAATCATCAGATCTAAATCCAATTGAAAACCTTTGAAAAATCATCAAATGCAAAATGGAGAACCACAAGCCTAAAAACAAAGCAAATTTATTTGAATCTGTGCAACAGGAATGGGCTGCTGTGACAGCAGAACAATGTCAGAAGCTGGTGGAGAGCATGCCAAGACGCATGGCTGCAGCCTTTAGAAACAATGGTTATGCAATCAAGTACTAACTCCTGTGTGTATCATGTGACTAAAACAGACAGAAAAGAAAACATGGAATACCTAAATGCACTGTTTTTGGCAGTTCAATGCCATAAGCTATTGATGCAAGAACTTAAGTGATTTTGGTTATTATCAAGAAGATCATGGAACATGGCTAGATATCCATGGTTCAATTGGACCCCAGCCAGTAGGATTAAGATAACAATAACTTATAAAGCACTTATTTCTCTCCAGAGGACTGCACCACGAAGCAAGTTTGAAACACCCAGATTTTCTTTGTGTAAGTCGGCTCAACTAAAACTACAACCCCACTCAGAGGTAACGGGGTATCTGAAGGTGGTTCTCAACTTTCTTTGTGAATTCAGGTTTTCTGCTTCAGTCTCTGTGGGCGCTCACATAAAAGAGGATGTTTAACACATCATGCGATTCTTCTTCTGCACAAAATGGACTCAGTGGTGAGTCAAAGTCAAATTAATGTTGTTCAATAAATGTTCTATGTAATAAATACCAGTGGCATAATCAGTGTTTAAATCTGTTCTATTAACTGCAGTACCAGCAGTGTAAACACATTAGGCAGTAATCAGGACCAAACATAAAAACATATTCATGTGTTGTCTGCATCACCAGCTGAATACATATCGGGTTCCCATGAAAACATCCATCCCTCCATTATCTATACACCGCTTAATCCTCACTAGGGTCATCCGGGGCTGGAGCCTATCCCAACCGACTTGGGGTGAAGGCAGAGGACACCCTGGACAGGTCACCAGTCTATCACAGGGCTACACTTAGAGACAGACAACCAAGTACACTCACATTTACATTCTCATTTGTTGTAATTAATAGTTGTAGATATACAGCAGGACTGCTCAGTACTCTAATTGTTGCATTTAATGTCTTGGCTGCTGATAGGTAACCAGGTGGACCAATGGCATCCATCCATTCCATCAGCTGAAATAAATCTGTTGGATAATGTGAAATGTCTCCGTGACTTGATTCATCCTGAGGCTAAAATAAACGCACTGGGCTCCAGTGATGTTTGTTTCTGGGAACGACCTTCCACCTGGTTCAATTCAATTCAAATGACTTTTTTTTTTTTTTTTTTAATCCCCTAGGGGCAATTCAAATTGGTTGGCAGTCTCCCAGGTGCAGCCTGAGAATGCCCTGACTGTGCAGCTGCAACAGGAGCTCAAACTCAGTCGGCATAGCGTGGATTAATTTTGAAGGTTGTCTGTTGTCGTAGTAGTGATTGGTGAGGTGGTGGAGATCATATGGGTGCTTACTGAAGGGCCAGAATCCGTACAGATGAACATTGTTGCAGAGCTCCAGCGCCAGGCTGACCATGGTGAAGCCAGTGCTGAGCCGCACTCCGTTTATCCCCTGAGAGCTCCAGAACAGGTTCAGACTCTGAAAGTATTCAGGGTTTAAGAAGACAGGTCTGATGGGGCTGTCAAAGTCCTTGATGGTGTAGAAGACCCGCAGAGTCACAGGAGTGTTTAAGGTATAGGAGAAGGAAGGAAGGAGCAGAAGGGAGTTTCCATAGGTGTGCAGACTCTCCACAAATGGACGGCGGCTTTCCATCAGAGCCCCGTACCTGTAAATACAGGGCTGATGTAAAGCAACAAAACAAAGGGAATATTATGTATTCAGAATGATAAAATTAATTTTCTTGATCACTTTTGTACAAAGATGCTCGGGTTTGCTGTCACAAAGTCGGTCTTGATGCCAACATGTTTCTCATATTCGTTTTCCCAAAGGAGGGAGGTTGCACCTGAACAAGCAGCAAAGAAAGTATTATGTGGATTTCCACCTTATTTTGTTTAACACTGTCATCGGCCTTTCAGTCCTGTACGCTGGACATCTTTCTCACCTCATGACAAACTGAGCCGAGTCGATCACTTTTCCACAGCTGCTGTTGGTCAGGATCCCACCGTTCCCAACAACGGCACAAGTGTCCCATGTTTTATTTGAGAAAGGATTCTCCTGGAATCAACAACAGCAGAAAATACATTAAACATAACAGTGTTTATTGTACATTTTATGTAACTTAACAATGCTCGGCTGCACTCTGGGTTGAGAGTGAACAAGCTAAAATTTTCATGACACTGAAATTCAGATGGTGAGAAAACACCATTATGTAACACTGTTACTCTTTAAACCTTTTATGTAAATTTTGCACGTCATGTGAGTATGTCTTACAATTTGGGTACAATAATCCCTCATGTCATATCTGTGCATGTGTAACAGTGTATACGTGTATATGTGGATAATGCCACTTGCTGTGGTTTCGATGTCATGTTGATTTGTGGTTGGCTCAGTGGCGCCCTCTTGGGAGCTGTGGTGTGCTGCTGGTAAGGGTGTCAGGCTGTCAGTTCCTGAGAGGTGTGCATGAGAGAGTGCTGTGCATGTGACGCCCGAGGCCGCTGACCAGAGTGTTTCTTATATTTGCCAAATGGACCATCAATGGTTAAACACATTTCTGCCTTCTGACTCCTTAATAAAAATAAAAAAAATGCAGAGTTGAGGGGTTTTGAGCCAGCCAATGACTGAGTGTGACTGAGCATAGTTACACATGGGAATAGTTTCTTATCTTTAATTTTTCCTTCTTGTATTGTTACGGCCCTTGGTGCCGAGTATTGGTGTCTCGTTTCCTTTCAGGTTACGCCAGGCGCAGCTGCTCTGCAATCACAGACATGGTTAAGAGCTGAGCCAACCTGATCATGGTGGCCAGTGGGGCAAATCGGCAGACAGAGCTGTGTGGTGTTTGTGGCCTTGAGTCCGGCTCAAACCCAATCGTGTGGTGCTTTGTGGTTGTTGTTTTGCTGGTAACTTCACGATTGGCTTCGTTTTCAGGAAGCTCGCTTTAATTTGCATTTAGTGTTCTTTTGTTTGTAAATTAACCTGACTTGTGTTAAACAATCAGTTTCCTGGTCCCTTTAACCCGGTCTCCTAGCCCATCTCCTAGCTCACGGGAATGTGACAGTACATTTACATTTCTTATCTTGTCTATCTAGCTTCAATCACAAATTAAAGCCGCAAGCGGCGATGGACGGGTCCTCG